GCTGGTTATCTTCGATAGTTCCTAGCCGGTCATTTGTTTTTACAATGGCGGATCGCTTATGTAAACTTTGGGAGCAAGAATGCGGCGCACGATACTGATATATATACATATATTTACATATACCTACACACGATATACATACATCGCGGCGAAACGCTGCCGCAAGTTGTTTCCAAGACCATAATGCCTTTTCCACGACGTGGTTTATCGGATACGTAAACTGAATTGTGCCGGGTAACCGCAGTATATTGTACATTACGACGCATCTTGTAAATCCGTCGTGCGACAATACGGGCGAACCTCCAAAATTTAATAAAAGAGATATCTCGCAACTGCCTGGGACATTCGTAGGCTCGTTCCACGGGACATTTCCAGAAACAATGTTTCGCGTGGTTTTCCTTTCATTGAGAGTGTAGAGTATAATTTTATAACAACATAAAAAATGTTCCGTTATATTAACATTTCATTTTTTATTGTGTTTTAATTTGCCATGTAAAGTTCATCGCGACATTATGCGCGGTGAATGGAACATTGTAGAAGCTTCCGGTGGCTCGTTAAATGTTACATATACAAGCAAATGGAAACAAATCGAGTACATGACGTTCGCAGTATTTCGGCTTATATATTAAATATCACGTATTACGTCGAAACGGTTTCTATTTGCCATTAACGTATTTTGAAAATTTATGCGATGCTTTTGTTAAGCAGAAAATTCACGAGTAAACGGCGACGGCGACAATTTCGAGCGCAATATTCGCTACATATCGGAATAATACAGATTTAATTCTTTTGTCTTATAATGGCCCGGGCAAGACCGCTTGAGCGCGGCTTCTGCTCCGCGCAAGAACGGTTTTATAACAATTAATGATATTAAATAGCGAGAAAGAGAAAGACCTGTTGCTTGATAAATTTCGCCTATATGCGCGAGGCATTATATCTCGAAAAACTAACTTCTGCAGCGTCGTATAAATTTCGTAGTTGACCCTGCCATCTGCGAGATGGCCATTTTCTCCCCGTCTAGGATGAGATTAACCGGTCTCCTCCCGTATCCCATTTCCGGTGCAATCTATGTACAGGTCTCCTTAGAAACGGATAGAAACTTGGATAGAAAGATACGCGCACGCGAGAGGACTCGAGTAAAAGCAACGATACCATCGCGGCCATTAGACGTAATTATTTTTATATTTATTCTCTTTTATTTCTGCGCGAATTATATATTAAAGCATCTGTGGATTTTTTTAGGACCACACACACACATTACACAGTATCGTCAACATTTTATCGAGATAAAGTTAGATACTCACAGTATTGACAATTAACTTCGTGTAAAGAAATTATACTCTTTTTCCTTTATTGCAGCTTCCAAACTTTTGTTCAGGACAAAACAGCAATAAAGGAGCTAGAAAGAGTACAGTTTCTTTGATACGCGTTGTACGAGGTTAATTGCCGAACCGCGATCATCTTGATAAAACGTTTATGATACTGCACACGTGTGTTACAGAAAATGGTTCAAGAAGATTCCCCCAAACGCCGATATATATTTAAATCCAATTTACAGAAATAAAAAAAAAAAGAAATTGCGAATTCGCATTTATCGTGTCACTCTAAAGACTGAAAGAACACTTTCACATCGTATTTTTCGCGAAAATCTTGTGAGGAAAATTACATTAATGTGAATGTACCTCAGAGCAACAACTGTGTCGCGATGAAATTGAAAATTAAAATTTATGATCGCATTAAACTGCATACAACGACATGCCACGCGAGCGGCAACTTCTCAAAGTTCCGCAACAATACAAGTAATTATACGAACAACTAGTTTTCTTTCTTATCCTTGGATGCGTTCGTGAGAATTCTCTCTCTCTCCGTAACTCCGTCTTGGCCAGTCTCATGCGCGCATTTCAAAAGGACACCTTTTTCGTCGCATAAATATGTGCACATATAAGAAAATCTCCGGCGATAAACTGCAAAATCCCCGCAGGGTTGTCCCATTTTTCGCTATACATGACGTGCTGTAAATTAATCTTGGCCCCCTTTTTAACAAGATTACGTTCCTTTACGCTATCCAGAAGCGGCGGAGCGAAGGTTTTTTTCTCTAACTGGATGTTTCACCAGGTTAAAAGTGCTTTACGTTATTTTTCGTCGGCAATTTTTCGTGCCGCATATAAGTAAGCTCCTCTACAAATCACCCTAAAAAAAAACCACTTACGATACCGTACACCATGAAAGCATAAATAAATCATTACGCTATTTTAAAGAATATAAGAGAATATAAATTTCTACGATTTCTGTATTAAAAAAAAAAGCGGACGGGGATTTTTTCGTGAGATTTATGAGGTGAGCCAAATTTGTGGAAAGAACATTAGACGTTCCAAAAATTCTGAAATTTTCTATAGACCGAAGGATGTTCTTTTTTTTGTATGTGTAAAGTATAATAAATTCCATTCCTCGCCCGATATTTTATCTGCTTTGTTCGCGTGCCCATCAAAACCCTCTTTAAAAGAGGAAACTTCCGTGAGGTGAAAACTTCAGAAGGTACAAATTTCCAATCGTATGAGCGAATATATCAATTTACGATCAATTTCGCAACGATGTTCGTCTCCGATAAGGACAATCTACGTCTCGGGACGATTTTGCAAATAAAATCTATTCAACGGGCATCTCGGATAATCGATATACGGCGTGACTTGTTGCATCGAAATACTCGATTTCCGACGGACTTCTCGTCGCCACAGTCCGCCGGACTTCCGTTATTAATTCAATTAACTACGAAGCAGCTTAAGTCGGCTTAAAGTAAAATCTGAAATAGTTGGGAAAATTCCGTTCCCGGAGATTCGTTTTACATATCGCGTCGCATCTCGCTTTTCATTCACGCGGGGAAATATAGAAAGCACGAGCGAAGGAAAGCAACTTTGTCGCCGTGACGATTGATATCGAACGGCACTTCGCTGTGTCAGTACTTAATGACCGTCTTGTGACGTGAAAATATAAAGCCTACGGAAGAACTATCAAGAATGAACTGCCCACTATACTTACGCCACGCGAATAGTAATCTCCGTGGCACGGATATAGCACAACAAACATCCCAGTAGATAGTAGATCGATAATCATTCGGCTTTACTGTGTTTACATGCCGTCGGCCAACTGCAATTGATATTGGAAAGACATAGAGCGACAACATGCGAGCTGGAATAAAAATAACTGGCCCATAAAGAAACGTTGTAACACCCGACGTCACGTAAATAACTGTTGCGTATTAATAGCTAATTAATTATGTGATTAACGACGATAATTTTGTACCGTCGTTTACCGAAGGTTAAAACGCGGCGCGTGCAAAAGGACGCGTTATGAAGGGAAGCGATATATTAAAACGAGACGATGTAGGGCGAATCTTATTTTCTGCCTGTCGACACTCGAAGAAAACGGTGGCGAAGGGGAAATATTTGCAAGCGGCGGGAATCTTCCACGAGTTGAATCCTCGCAATGGCGATATAACCGTTCGCCCTCTTTTGTGGCGCAACTCGTGAATGCCCATTTTAACCCGGCGAAGAATCTGCCTGCGGTACACATACATCCCAGCGCAATATCGTCGCGGCGGTATTCTTTTCTGCAAGCTGCGGTCCACGCGCAGCGGCTCGCTTAACCGGAAGGAAGCCGATAGGAAGCTAGCAGCACGTGAAACGATGGCGCTAGATTCCCGAGTGTAAAATATAAAAAGGGCACGGGTGATAAACGCACGTGCCGCTTGATGTACGATCGTAAATAGCGACCCACACTCGCCGTTAGGACGAGACCGAAATAATTCATCTTAACAGAATTGAGAGTCCAGTACAGCGCGGTATTTTAAATTACGACAATTACATTTGATTTTATGTATGATTTCATTGATGCACCGAGTTAACATTAGTATTTTTTAATTGGAAAAGGAGTTGAAAGTTCAGAGAACATTATTTTAAGCTGCAATTTCTCGATTTAATTAAAGTAATCGATCGAATAAATCTTACGTAACGATACATTACTTACCCACATCGACGATACCGCTTTTTATCGATTATTAAGAATTTATGGCTAACAATCGCGGATTACATAACTACGACTCCTCTTGTTTTAACGCCCTGTATAATGCACACGAAATTAGGTTAACGACTTTCGAGATTGCACGATCATTTCGGGTAGCTTTAAGCGACACGTTTTCCTATTATTACGGAATAGTAATTTCACTGCCATCATAAAAAGTAGTATCTTGTCCGTGTTGTACCGTCTGGCATAAATCATGACGGGCAAAATATGTGTGTGTAAAAAGAAATATCAATATATGTGCGCGCGAGATAGAAAAAAACGGCAATAAAAAATGACTTGTTGACAATTCATAAGGATTTAGGTACGGTGGACAGGTTTTCGGGTCGTGATGGCTATTTTGATCATCGATACCGATACGCGAGTGTACTCCGCAGCAGGATGCCGAGTAGAATCGCGCTAGATCAATAAGCACGATGACGTGTAAATGAAGCATCTCTCTTAAATCCTTTATTTTCATAAATTATATACGGCCAAATCGATTTTATCGTAGCACGCGATGTAATATTTAAGCGGCCACGTATATTTGACAGGATTTCGATCTATTTCGTAGCGGAGTCTCGCCTCGTCGCTATTAAGTTTAGATTGAGGCCAACGAGGCGTAATTAGACAGAAATCTTGATAGCGACACACTCACACATACTTAAGACCACACACACTTATAATCAATCTATGATGATTAATTTTAATAATACACAATTTTAGACTATGTAAAATATTAATTTAGAAACCTCCTGCCTCGTGGATGTGAAGCAAATGCCTCGTGACATATTTCTAATTCTCTGTTATCTTTATATCATGATAATGTGTATCGAGATAATAACGTAAACACCATGGAAACTGTTGACTTAGAACTCGATGTTGACTTGGTATTCGATATCCCTTGTACCAAGCCGCACGGGTTGGCTTTTGCTATTTTGCAGATAACAACGGCGGCATGAACGTACGAGACTGGTTACAAAGTGCCATTTGCAGAGTGTCGCGCGATCTTGAGCGCTCTATCAAGATTGCATCCCAACGACTTCCAAACTTTGTGTACGCAGTGTAGCCTTGTAGAACAGAACGCGAAGAGAGAGAGACACTTGATACATGTAGATGTAAAAGTGATCGAGAAATCATCGTAGAACATTAGTTTAGATTGTGTGTGAAATGTGAAGAAATTCGAAACGAGTCAACATGGAGATCATCACGAAACGCGACGCAACGACCAAAAACTCGACTACACCAATGGCCTCTGTGAGGTTCGCCAAGCTGCAATTCATGTTCCTTCTTGGTCCACAAGAGGGGATGTGACTTGATTTCGGAGCGAGCCTCAACGATGAATCGCCTCAGGGATCGTCAAATAGAAACATAGGTGCATAAATAAGCAAGAAGAATTAAGAGGACACGAGAGGATTAGAGTACTTGCGACGCGTAGTGTGATCAGATAGGCGGAAATATGGATTCAACAAAGTTGGGTGGTCCAACACCGACTAGTCCGAGGGCTCATTCTCCAGTCCTGCCGAGCTACGCCGCGCCTGGCGAAGGTAATATTGATTACATCATAGGCGACTATATGGAGAGACTGGGCACGAGACTGAACATCCTCGAAACCGAATTGAAGTACGCTTGGAGGGCGCTGGATCTCCTCAGCCAGGAGTACATCAAGATGTGGGAAAGATTGGAAAAGTTGGAGGGTCTGCTGTACGAGCAGCAGACGGTTATCAGCCAGCTGATCGAGTTTTATACCAGCGGCGGTACTCACGACAACGTGAACATCGTCGAGGAGACTTTGGCCAATCAACAAGGCTCGGTAGGCGAGCTAGACGCGATAGCGAAGAGTCTGGGTGCTGCGATAGGCATCGAGGATACCACCGTGCTACGAGAGAAACTGGCTCAACAGGAACTCGCGAGGATGCACGGGCTTACGCAGGACAGTACAACGGCCGCAGCTGTGGTCACCGACATGCACAGGAATGTCAGGAATTTGGACACTTTGGAGACCCTCGAGGAAGAGGGCAACATTCCCGACGAGGCATTCTACAGAAGCCTGAATAACGCCTACAGGGAAGATCTGATTTGCGGCGACACGTCGAGACCGACGTCGCAGCTGGGTATGATCTGGGAGGAGGCCGAAGATGAGGACATAAACGGCAAGAAAGAGATCGAGTCCAGCATCTTCGACAAGACTATACCAAAGGAAAAGGAATTGGAAGAGCTGTCCAGCCAGCCGACCAAGGAGGAAGTGCAAACTTCTATAATGAAGAAGGAGGATGAGGCGGATGAAGACGAAGGCGAGGTATTCAGCGCGGCCGATTACAAGAGCTACAGAGGGAACACGCCGTGCGTTAGTGAGCAAGATCTCGCTCAACTTTCAAGACTCAGCTCCCTCGATCAGGTGGCATTAGAAAAATTGCACGAGATCGATAGGTTAACCAGCAAGTTACAAAAGGACTCGCAAAATTTGATAGAACTGCAATCGAGACTGATAGATTCGCCTAAGCGAAACCATCAGTATGCGTCCGAGGCCGAGGCAAAACTGGCCGAGGAGGCGAGCAGCATAGACGAACAGCTGAGGAAGATTTACGCGGAGACCGACGTGGATAGCTGGACCTTCTCCAAAAGTCCGAGCTCCACCGGCAGATCGATCTCTAGAGTCAGCACTGACAGCGGATTGGCCACCGATGGCGACTTTACAACGAGATCTATATCGCCAAGACTGACCTCTACGTCCAGGAGTAATTTAGACTCCATTTCGACTACTTATACCCCGCCTAGGTTAGGATATACATCGGCCATACTAGAAAAGAGCCCGGAGCCCGTGATTCAGTTGCCGATCGATGTCGGTAGCTTTGCAAAGGGATACGCAGAGAACAAGGAGCTGACAGATCTGATGGCCGAGAGCTTCGCGACCGCCGTCACATGCGCCTCGCCCAACATTTACACCACGACTACCGAGAAGGTACCGTCGCCCACTTTGTCGGCCGGCAGCGTACACAGCGTTCACAGCGTCCAGGGTCTCCGTACTAGGCAGGACGGTTACTTTGGTAGCGCAGCCCGGCTCAATCTCGAATTCCAGGAAAGTCGTACGCCACCTAGCCCGTCGCCTAGCTCACCACCTCCGCCAGCGCCGCGGGACACCACCGAGTCCTTCCTTATGCCAGGCGCAGAACAGAGAGAACCGGACGCGAAGAGGCCTCAGAGTCCGAGTTTCCTGCGAAATGCGGAAAAGCTGGTCTCCATGGAACAGGGTCGTCTCAGTCCCCGTACTCCTCATTCGCCCAAATCACCGCGAGTCTCGCCGAAACATGCAGTTAAATCCGGCAGTGCCGCTAACATAGTCACAGTCAAGTCCGATTCCGGTCTGTCGTCTATGAGCGGTTGGAGCAGCTTAGACAAGTCGCCGTGCTCCCCGAAGAGCTCCATTGCTAAGATGCTTACCTCTTATTCGGTGGATCACACCCGCGCGAGTAGTCTTATACCCAGCACGCAACCCGCCAGAACATCCAGCCCGATACCGCCGCTTCCAGAGACGACCACTACCACCACTACTATCATCCAGGAACCTCTCTATGACACTCCCGAGGGTAGAGACGCTTTTGCGAGCGCCATGGCGACTACGTCCAGTCATCCTTACACAACGACAATGAATCACCTGTCGGCGTATACGACCGCCGGCAAATCGCCGGCCAAAGAGGACTACACGTTTGTGCCACCGCCAGCTCCGGGCAGCGTAACTACCACTTGTCAGAGTCCCAAGAAACGCGGTCGTCTTCAACACACTTACTCGACGTCCGCCAGTACGACTGCGGATTACATTTTCAGATCGGAACAGCCGGCTATTTACTCCGTGGCCGGTAGCAATCGACAACAAGCCATTACGAGCGTCTATACCAGCGGTGCTGGCAGCTACGGGCCCAAGACTACCACCTCGGCTTACTACTCTGCCGATTCGCTGGATCATCAGTATACTAACTATCAAGATAGTTATGCCACTCTTCAGTATGCGGAGGCAACGAGCGCCATGATGGCCCACGGGAAGAAGCCAATACGCGGAAGCTCTTTCACAGACGGTATGACGAACCACGAAGGATACAAGGCGGCGATGTATCGTACGATGTTCCCCACCGGCAACATCACGGATGCTCTCTCGTACTATCCGACCAGCGCGACTAATCTTCCGCGCACGGAGACAAACGAGACTACATCATGGTTGAACTCGATGGAGGAGCAGATACCTCACGATTCGACATCTTCCAGCATCAGATCTTTAACTTCCGACGGGAGCTACGCTCAAAGTCCGTACACGGATCGGAGATATCCGCAGCCGCCGGCCTATCAAGCGCATACGGCGTATCAGCAACATCACATTTACGCAAATCAGAGTTATCCGCAAGCCTATCAGCAGCAGTATCAGCCGTATAGCCAGCGATTGAGTAGTGCCGAGAGTGCACAACTCGCAGACGGTTATCAAAGGCAATGGCAAAGGGAGCATCAGTACATGCAGGATCACGAGAGCGGAAGGATGGAGCAACAACAGACGCAACAGACCGAATATTATGATGCCTCGAGTGTGATAGTTTCGCAATCCGGGTACATTAGTATCTCCTCGAATCTGAAAGATCACGAGGTCGATACTAGCAAGCTGAAGAAAGTCAGGAGAGGCTCCTCACTAAAGAACGCGATGAGCTCCATGAGTAATTGGCTGCCCGATTTGCACCTCACCAAACGTCACAGGAGTCAATCGTTACCAGGTGGTGTCAGAAGAGAGGATCTAGACGTGCAAGACGCTCAGCAGCAAAGATTGGCTGAAATGACAAGCAGAGGTCGTGGCAGAGCTCAGACCGCCAGAAAAAAGAAAAAACATACGCTGGTTTCCACAGTATCCGGCATTCTCCAGAAGGCCAAACGTCGCAGTCATCAGTCGCAATCTCTGTCAGATCCAGAGCAGTCTGAGACAGAATGGAGTAGTGGCCGGCAAAGCGGCCTCTCGGAAGATGAGGACAGCGTCATGTCTGATATCGTTCAAGAGCCGCCTTTCTTCGCCAAAGTGAAGACCGCGAGCACGAAAAGACCATCGAAGCAGCCGCCTCCGATACCGCCACAGATGATGGCACAGCAGCAGCAGCAGCAAGCACAGATTCAAGCGCAACAAAAGGAATATATGCAACAGCAGCAGCAAGCGCTTCAACAGCAGCAAGCGCTTCAACAACAGCAAGCGCTTCAACAGCAGCAGCTACAACAACTCCAGCACCAGCAGGCGCTTCAACAGCAGCAGCAAGTGCTTCAACAGCAAATTCAACAGGCTCAGGAGCAATTGCATCAACAGGCTCTTCAAGATACATGGGTCAAGGAGAAGGAGCAAAGAAAGATCGAGACTAAAGACGAGTACGAGACGAACGGCGATCAGATGGCTTTGCTCGAAGAAGAAGCTTCGGGAAAGAGTACCGGCTCGGGATCCGGTGGATCGTCGATCTTCCAAACTGTTGGCGATATTAAGAGATCGACAGGCAGTTCGGATGAGGCACCCAACGAGAAGGCGCCGAAACTGCCTCCGGTTACTTTGATCGGCGGCTCGAGTATGGAATTCGCTGTATCACGAGCGCTCGGCAAGTATCGCCAACGACAATCCTCGACAGTGTCCGACGAGCAGTCGACAACTGACGAGAACAATGACAAGAAACCGAGCGAGGAGGGCGCGGCGCAAACTTTGGAAACAAGTTTCGAGTTTCCGGAAGATATGTCGGAAAAGAGCGAGAAGAGCGAGAAGTTCGGCAGCGCAAAACTACCGGAATTGGTTACTAGTTTGTCAGAAGAAGCTCCGCCGTCGGAGGGTAGCCCGTCCGCATCCATAAGAGGTTACAATACTACAGGAGGAACTCGATTTTTACCGCGACACCAGCAATCTCTAGAAATTCCATGGACCGGGCGACCGGGCGAACCTGATGAGGACAATCGCAGCACTCATTCGTACAGGAGTACCTCAAGAGTGTCCTCAAGGCGACAAAGCACGGAAGATTCTATTGATTCCGAAGACGAATGGTACTGTTACGAATTAAGAAAACTCGAAGAGCTGGAGAGACAGTCTGAGATGGAGATGACCGAAGCATTGATCGAGGAACCCGAAGACGAGGTTTATCAGCCGGACGAGACGGTAAAAGAAAAGATGTCATTTGTATTGAAAGAGCTTAAACTCAAAGCCATTACGAAGCCAAAGGATCAGAAAAAGGAGGGTAGAGAAGAATCGCGAGGCAGGATGAACGGTACGGTTATCAAGGAGCATCGCTTCGAAGAGAACGACAGCAGGTATCGCGACGAGAAGCCCATTCCTAAGCGGAAGTCTGCAGAAAGTGTGGAGGCTGTGTTCGCCAGGGTGACCGATTACCACACGTGGGCGCACGAGTTAGAAGCTAAGAAGGAGAAGCCTCCACCGGCCACGGAAGAGGGTTCCTCCGGCGAGACATCCGGTCCCGACAGTCCCGGACAGTCGATGGACGAGGAAGAGGAGGAAGAACTGCCGAAGGATCTCGAAGAGCAACAGTCACGACGAAGCTCCAACGGTTCGACGCTACGTCACAGCGAGAAGATGCCGCAGGGCTCGGATTCCTTATCCCGCGAAGGTAGCGTAAGTGTACCACCTAGCGAAGTGTCGGTCAGCATCCCGGGAGCTTGGGATTCTGAAAGCACTGTCCTTGAAGGCCTCGAGCGCGATGGAGCCGGTAGCGCCGAGACGGCTACCACGGCGACCTTGAGTCTACCGAAGATCAAGATCGACTCCTCGTCCTGCGGAAGCTCGGACACGACATTGAAGGAGGGCCAGGTGAGTCCTGGCCCGCCCGGGTCCAAGTGGAAGCTGCTCAAGGCCTTGAAGGAACGTAAGGCCGAGGAGAAGCTCAAGGAGGTCGAAGAGGCCTCTAAGGAGAACGCTATCTCGCAGGGACCCACGGCAGTGAGTATCATGATCAAGTGAGGACACGAAAACTTCTGTAAAGCGTACTCGAGATTCGGAGGTTGGGTGAAATTATGAATTCGCTTTTATCACGTTTTACCGCGTCACTTTTGCGATCGCGGCAACGATATTCTATAATGCTTTTTATTGGACGCGACATCCCCCGATACTGATATTCAATAAATTAATAAATTGTCAAGCTCGAATTCGATCTGTCACAACGACGGTACTTGCACACGCCGGAAAAGAGGCCCTTTACCTCCTGCGTCGTCAATGCATCTTGACCGATTTTGGCAACTGACGTAAAATTCTCGACGATTGATTTCCCGCGTGCTCCGAATTCATTATGCGACACGTATTTACATCACGAATGTCGAGTACGCGGGTACGTTGACTGACTGTAAAAGCGGGTGAGGTAACTGCGAATTTAACAATATTTGGCGTTAAAGTTAAGATCGTGCCACCAAGTGACACGTATACTCAATCAGTGTTGCGCGCGACACCGAAAGGAAGTCAAGCTTTGCCGTCAAAGAGAGCGACGACAATTTTCGCTCGCTCTCTTTCACTAAGGTTGTTAGGGAGAGACCCGAGAGAGCCTCTGAGATGGTTGTGCGAGATATATGTTACAAACATTACTAGTCAATTTAAGTGTAACACCACTAACGCTTGATCAAGCAATATTTCTAAGAGGCGGGAAAACGCCGCTTCGATAGCGAGCGGATTTATTCGTGATCGACGATCATTGATCTCGAGATTCCACGCGTGGCGACGCGTGGCTACCGGGAAGCTCATTTAATAAGCATTTTAGACGTAATTAGATGGTGCTTTATTCGTAGATACGCTTTTAAGCTAGTAAGCTATTGTATCGTTAGAATCTGCCGCTGTGTCTGAGCGACGCGGACAAGTGTTGTGAAAAATATGCCTGCGAAAAATTATAATTGTTCACGAAAATGTTACGCGTCGTCGATTTATTCTCGTTTCATCTGTCATTCGCGACATTCATATTCGAAATACATTTCGACATACATTTCCCCTTTATCGTCCTTTACTTCCTCTCGCGTATCCCATTGTCAAAAAAAATTGTACGACCGTATGAAGTACAAGCGCCATTGTTCGCATCGAACGTTACCTGAGAATCGCAGATGGCATAACGATAAGTCACATTATAGCGATAAGAATGCACGTCGCGCAGACACTGCGGAAAATCGCATTTCGTAAAACATCGAAATCCATCGCTCCCGTGAACGCCTGTAAAGATACATACCGGAAACACTTGCGTGTGCATACGCGAGCTGTTCATCGTGCAAGGAGAGAGAAAGAAAAGAAAATGGATGTAAAACGACCCGGAGCGGAAATTGCTGCGACGAATGGCGTCGATATTTCCGCGATCTGCAAAGAGCACGCTGCGACAAAAATGCATATGATACGTGCCTAGGAGAGGTACTAGTAGCGAGAGTCCGCGAGAGACACAATGGGTTTTTAGAAGCGCGGCTATTAGCGCGACGAATCGTTCGAGACGAGTGAGAGAAACGTGCGAGAGAAATCCGGCGGCGAACTCGCTGGTCTCGCTGATAAGTGAACATTTCGCACGATTCCCGCGACGCGTGGACAATAAACACGCGGTATATATACGGAAGATCATTCCTTCGCGATATTCGTAGCCGAGTCTTATACTCAGGATTGTCCTAAGTGCTGTCTTAAAATCCTGTACGTGTAGATTTACGATCGCGATGGTAAGGACGATCGCGAATTTTATATCGCAGCTATAAATGCATATAGCATTTTTAAGATCGCGCGCGAGACACGATCCTGAATGTATAAGGTCGCACTGCGAATACCGAATTCTTAGTTCCTGACATCGTAGAATATTGCGCATCCACATTCATCACTGTTACACTCACACATTCTCCTATCACCCACGCGATTTCGAAGTATGTAGAGTCAATTTTGCAACGTTTTCCGATCAGCAAGGACGATTGCCCGAGGCAACTTTTACTTAACGTGGGTCTTTTTTTCGGATCAAGTTAAGTAGACGCGGACTGTCGATCGATAACGATAACCGGTTAACCAGATACGCCTTGGGTATCCGTCGTATAATACAGGGACTTCCAAAATCGACGACGCTTATCGTTGCCCCCGATATTAATGCCATCCAGGACACGCGCGACGTCTAGTGCAACGATACACATACTCCGCGGGGGCGATATACATCCCATTCAATCGCGCGTGAATGCAGAAAAATCGATACCTCGCGTATACCTCGTAACTCGCGCCGTCGTGTGAGAGAGAGACAGTATTACGCCGACAATATCTCCGCAGCTTGTATTTCTTACCTTTTCTATACCACGTTCCGTCGCGAAGCGAGCCAACGACGGGAGGAGCCTCCTCCTCCCGTGGATTTCCTTCCGAGACAGGAGCGGTCTCCTTAAAAGAAAAAAAAAAAGAAGAAACAAATATTCGACGAGTCCCTCCGATGATCTTCGTGCCGACCGCAGCAGATATAATACGTACACATCCCGTGAGAAACGTGACGCGAGAGAACGCGCGTGTCGCGCCGGAGAAGGTTTCGCCGTGTATATACGGTGCGTGCGCAAAATTTTTCTAACGTCTGTCGTCAGTAGGTACGTCGCGGTGCAGCTACGGTAAGGTGGAAAAACGATAAGACTAATGATCGTTGTTGTACGTCGTGTAGAGAGTAATAATTATTATACATTATACCATGGTAGAATAATAGAACTATATCGTGACGGTAACGTGTCGTTTGTATTACACCGAACGACCTGTATTTGCACTTAACGACCTGGACTTGAGTTCGAAATTTATCTTGTTGCACGTCAGACGAGTCCGCAGTGGTAAAAGTCGCAAGTAATTTAAATGCTAAAGCAGCGCTACTTTAAATAAAAATTGCATTCAGTTTCCATTATTCCGAACGGAGAGAAATATAATATACATGAATTTATCGACAATTCGAATCAAAGGTGTATACGAACGACACGGAGTATTATTACAACCGATTGATAGCTTGCAGAAATAAGCATTTTTCCTTGTTCTTGTTAACAGACGTGCATACTCTACTCCGTACGATCGATCGCATTGCGTACACCCCGACAGCTGTTCGAGCTTGCATAAAGAACGATTCGTAATGATCGAATGAATGAACCTACGTGGGTACGCGTGCGAAAGACACACATTCCACACATACACACACACACACACACACTCCCTCACACATACCCATATACACACGCACACACATACACATACACCCACGTCCGATACATATGCTTCCGTATCTAAAGACTTACAGCCGTATAGTACTGTACTTAAGCTAGGGAATATTATCCTGCGTAATTCTCGATGTGTTGTGTTAGAATTTAGGTGACTGGGGCAGTACCTGTGCGAAGAATGTGTAGAGACGCTGGTTTCGATACTGATACATTTATCGGGCAAACAGTACGGGAGGAAGGAATCGTTAAAAAAAGGAAAGAACGTCAAGAGACGAGTAAAAACGCAGAAATTTATACGAGAGAGCGAATGCGAATGTCGCAGGCGCCATCGAAGTTTTTCGCCAGCGACGCTCGTAAAATTCACATAAAGCTCGATCTAAAAAACTTTCAATAATCTACTGAGAATTATTTTGGGATACTTTGTAACAAAGTTTTTAGGATCACAAATTTTGCGCATCATTTCTTAAAGCGAATAGCTTTCGGGGAAGGTACCGAAACCGGCGTCGCCGGTGCAAGAGTCAATAATACTGAAGAATAATAAGATTTTGGAAGTGCTGTCCTAAGAGGTGATGAGGGAACGAGAAAGGCGCGTTAGGGAACGGAGGAATTACCTCCTGAGAGATAATCCGTCAATGGATACATAAGTGATAAGAAACTGGCAACTCTCTTTCGAAATTATATGTCGTTGAGCCTTGCACGCTGATTTTGATAAGAAAAAAAAAAGACGAGCAAACTCGGCGATTGGATCAAAAATTTCACTTTCGCTCATCTTAACGGGTGCTCCGAGAATGTGTCGTAGATATAAAATTAAAAGTAAAAATTTCTCCAACTCGTTCGTGGCATTTCTTAAAAAACAAGATAGGAAACTGACACCAAAATGTTTTCTTTCCTTCGGAAGCGAGTCGTTAAAGAGAAAAATTTTACATTCGCATTTGGTAATTGCAATTACGTCCTATGCATGTTGAAGACCAATTATAATTAACTCGCTACGTAGCAAAAAACACATACTCATTTTCTGTCTTTCTGCCCCGTTGTCCTTTCATAAAGGAATTATAATTTTTTTGAACGTTAATTCATTTACAATTCACGGTCTGATTATTCCGCTGCCGTTGGATGAACATTTTTTAACGAGGGAGTAAAACCAAACGCAAATTCCGACATTTACAGGAAAATGAAGGAAATTGAAGGAAAAGTGTCGCTTGTTAATTACAACGTGTTAAGAAGGCGGGAGATTTTATGTACAAAGTCGAGTTTTATGTAAAATGGGGTGCGCTCTTCTTTCAGAACTTCATTTCACAAAATACACGGCGGTACTTACCAAGAGGTTTGAAAGAGAGTTTTAAATGGCTTACAATTCGGCGAATTTATGTAACGAGAGAGAGGACATCGAAAAACATAACTCTCACTTGTTTGCGTAGCACTATCTGCGAACGTGCCGCACGTACACAGGCCCGTGTTTCGCACAACGGACCCCCATTATGCAGCTTCCTTAATCATCCTAGTTTCTATCAACAACCAGGAAGGATGTCGGGCTGCTAATTAATGGTTACTGCTGATGCACGCATATTAGCAAGTTGTTTCGCGGCTGTTGCGCTTGTATGGGTCACCATAAAATGACGTAATGCTTTACGCTCTTTACAGCGTCAAAGAACGGTACGCTCGGGTGGAGGCTGTACTACTATTCTTCTCTCGTCCATTTAGATTTATTCTTCCTCATAAATTCGTCATTTAAATCGCTCGCCGCGAGCTCTTAATTATTTAATTGAAGACGCG